GTAATTGTGCGTGTGATACTGCGCAATGTGTGGCACAGTATTTCACAAAATATAACGTTAAAAATAAAAATAAAAATGATTTGATTTTCACGTGACTTCCGCAGTAATTTGGTTTGGTTGGATCGGCAACGTGGGACCTCTCTATCGGTCCTCATTTTACTATCTCACAATATTAATTAATAGCAGTTAAAGATAGCTTAAAGCCTATTCATTTGATTTTCCTTAATTTAACAAAAACATAGTAGAGGAGGAGAATTCGCAACTTTACTTATAGAATTCACAACATATGTTGAACTTTACACTACCTTTTCAGCAAAACTTTATTAATAAAGGTTATCAAAAGTATACGATATAGTAGCTTTAATCCCAAAGAGTATATATACAAAGTTTATTTAAGTTTCGCAATTTTACAAGAAGTTTTATTTGTTCAAACCTTAAAATCGTGGTCTTGTGATTTTTTTGCCATATGTTCTGTGTAATGAACTCTACCCTTAATATTAAAACTTCCCTATTGATCTGCAGGATACATCACACAATCAATATTTTTTTGTTTACATAAACAAGCTTTTAAACGAAAACGTGACAGCGAGCTTTGTGTCTTTTACTCACACAACGACATCACTCAGGTCAAGACAATAATAATCTATTTTATCAATTCAAAAAAATACAAATAGGACGGCCGTCCCCACATTTTTTTTTCATTTTTTTTGTAGAGAAATTCCTCTCAGGCCATTTCAGCACACGGAACACAACTTTCCACGATGTCCCTGTCCATCTTCAAGCAATCAAGTTTACAGACAATGAGCACATTCAAACCATGAAATCATCTATCATCACACAACGTTATACAAAATGGTCTAAAAATAAAAATACCACTGCGCCGAGTGTTTCATAGCATTACAATAACAAAAATACACGATTCAATTGATTCAATCATTTATTACATATAACAGGAGAGACCGTTCTGATAACACAAAATTTAACCCACGCAATTGTTGATCGACCAATCAAAATCGTGAATTTTATAACGTAAAAATAAACGTTAACATAAAACATGGATCCATTTTGTCAACAATCACTTCACCAACAGTTGTTTCGTTAACAAATGGTTCGAATTTAAGAAGTTGAAAGCAACCATTTGAAATAGTCTAATAAATTAAACCGTGTGTCACAATAATACATCCAAAATAATTGGTCTTCTTAAAATTGACATGGATCAAATTCCCATGCACTTTTTGAAAAAAAAAACAACGTTAATCAATTATTTTAGTTAAGGGCTATTGAGCTACGTTGAGCCTTTTTAAATAAGTTCAGTGTAACAAGAGTCATGTCAGGTTAAAGTTTGAAAATTCTATTATAAAATTTATAAAAATTCTGAAATTGGCACCTTATAATTTTGGTCAATTTCGTCTAATGTTGGTCCGACTTATAAAATAAAATGTCGCGTACAGTGCGGATCATCTATACTCAAAAGTTAAAATTTTTGAAATATTATGTGATCCACACATCGGATTTTAAAAAAC